TCAGTATCAAAGGTGCGAAATACAGATTTCCAGTTAGCTACTTGTTAGTGACTAAAACTCGACACTATACAGGCAGACATCTTTTTAAAAAGGTGGCACGTTGCACTGCTGTAAGCGATATCCGTACTCTGTAGATGGCGAAAACAATAACGACTCCGTCACAATTTCTTAAAATTTATTATTCATAAATGTAACAAGAAAAAACGAATTATTGTCAAATTTAACGAAATTCAACGAAGTTTTCTAACAACAATTAAATCCAGACAGCACCCTTCATTATTGGTACTCGACAGCGCCCCCTACTTCCCGGTTAAACCGCGGGTCGCCGGTACGCCGTTAATGAGCATCTCCTTTTCCTTTATCATAGTATTGAGTTTATTCTCAATCGGTCCATATTTTGGATCCGAGGACCAGGTAGATGGCATCAGGGACTTGATGCTGCAATGAACAATGACAAAAAGGAAGATCTGTTTTATTTAGCTCTTGGCATCTGGTTAAAGAAACTCGGTGACCGCCACAGCCATCAACTCCAAATGAGAGTTATTATTCTATTTACCCGAGATACTTATTGGAATTTAGATAATCGTTTNTAAGTAAAGTACCCGGCCACACTTGTATCGAACTAAGAGTTCTCATAGACCACTATTCGCTCGAGATGTTTAATACAAGTGGCCCCGGGACACTGCCAATTGAACAAGTTTCCGTAAGTTTATATAAAAGTTTCATCAAGGTAAACAATATTGTGATGCATCTCCAAGCTTGAATTAAAATTTGATGATAAACCAAGGAAAAAGTTATACGAATAAAAATCTTTTCATTTCATTAAAATAGATACAAGACTAATGAAAACACCGGTACGGGGGCTCAACCCCCGAATTTTGTGTCAAGCTGAAAATATCTACCGCCCTTCACATTTTTGTGTAGGTATTTTTTGCAACATTACTGGCCTTTCAGTCGGTTCAAAATGTGATTAATTTAGAACTAATTTAATAGAAAATTACTTTCACTCTATACAGAAAATGGATGGAAATGGCTTCCATAACAGGGGTCTCTCGGAAAATCAAAACGGAACATCTATGAGCCATATTCGAATACCGGAAGTACAAGACACCGGAAATGACGAGTATTTCAAAGGCGTACCTGGAGATACCGTGCCAATGGGAGGGAGCGGACTGTTGGGGAACATCCGGTGAAACAGCATCATTGTCGCGTTCCATTGTACGTCACCTGGGCAACAGATACGGAAATATTATAAAGGAAAATCAAAACAGTTTTAAATCATTTCAGATTTCACATGATCCTTTTGACTGAATGTTCCTGAAAATACCTACTATTCGTAAAAACAATTCGTTTTATATAATTATTACAATACGCATAAAGTTCTTTGACAATATTATGACTATATATGTAACATCAAGAACATACGAGGGATATTACTGGATTCCTAACGGCTCATCAACACGAAAGAGACCATTAGGGCACATACAAAGTAGATAGCACATGTCCAAGGAAACGACATCAAACGAACGAAAAGGTAAATGACAGAATTATACTTGGAAAGTAAAAGTGGCTATGGTTAGCGACATATTGAACATATCAACATTTTTTTAGGTACGAGATGAACCCCCCGGGCTATAAATCAAGCTACTTACTGAGACTGCTGGCCATGAAGGTGGGCGGGGACAGAGTTGCTGATGCTAAATATCCTTCATACCTAGCTATCTCCACCATCGTGTCGTTCATGTATCCAAGAATGACCGTCACCAACTTCTGAATGGCCTCGTCCACAACCAAGGGGTCAAGTTTCACAGGAGAGGGAGCGTGGGGCATGCTGAAAACCTCCTGGAGATGATTGGTGATGAACGCCACGGCTAGTCCGGACTTGCGAGTCTGCCTGTAACTGTAGCATAAATAAACTCGTCAACATTTATAAACAAGATATAACGATATCGACTAAGAAACATGATCCACAAAATTGGAGTAATCAAATGATGTCAAAACAAATCATTAATTTAGGGTTTTAGTTTTAACTCATTCACCCCTGAAATTTCATAATGAACTATTCCAACCTTTGAACTGGAAGAGTTCAAAAGTGTTTTCAGGGATGAATGAGTTAAAGCACATCCTAGTTTGCCCTCATCAAGTGATGTCCAAACATACCATTAATTTAAGGTTTTAGTTTTAAAGCACATACTTGTTTACCGTCCTGTTCGCAACCCTCGTGTGCATATGAATGAATTCTTGCGGCGTTGTACAACGGAATGCGTCTGGGTAGATCGCACCAAAGCTGAAGAAATCATTCACCATCTGTGACGCCACGTCATCGATGGAGGCGAATTCGCCTCTGTGGAATCGCTCCAGGAAAGATGGAATACTCCATTTGTAATCCCGTAAAAACCAACCAAGACCTGAAAGAAGCGTTTAAAACGGCAAATTGTCAATTACTGGTTTTCAAAAGCGAAACCCTGTCGGGCAAATGTGACAATGACATTCAATTGTTTAAATAGGTTTTCCTTTTGTCATCAAGACGAACACGCAACTTCGCAGCGACATGGTGATTTAAAGGTTAGTGATATCAAGGTCCGACACTGAGACTTAAGCTAATAGGATTGTGTCGCCATTTCTAAGTAGAATTTATTCACATTTTGTAGTTATATTGCTTTGAAGTAAAGAAAATGTTCTACCACAAAACAATATAGGTTGTCAGAATTTTAAGGATTTTAAATGGAAATGTATGTAAAAAGGATTGAATTTTGAAAAGAGACTCGAAACACATTTTTTTTGCAAAATAATGTCAATAAAAATGATACTAACATAGATTAGTATTGCATTAATGTATATTAATTTCATAAATGCTGAAATTGTGTAAAATTAATCATCTATAAACGATTAAAAGTTGACATTTTATAATAAAACCATATACACATAGTAACTGCATGCAATGAGTTATCGTTCCTGGAAAACTTCACAGTAGTGAAATAGGTAGCCGGTTTCCTGAAGTACAGAAAAATGGACACATGTGACTCATTGATAAAACCCCCACTGAATTAATGCCTGGATTGCTTTGCAATACAATAGTATTGAAAGAACACACTGTTCTGTCAATAATAAGCATACAATATTCATCAGTTTAATATTAAACATTAGAATATGCGGAAATTGTGATACTGCCTCCCTACATTGGATTTTCAACTAGGGATGAACTTCCTACTTCCGTTTATCAATACACTCCTATGACCTTAAGGATGTATCCTGCGCTACTGCAACCGGAAACACTTTCCACAAGTAATCGCCAACAGCAATGACCCTCGGGAAACTATTGAACTCAAACACGGATCAATTCACTAATACAGCCGGCATGAGAAGCAAATGGAAATTAATAATGAAGATATGACATGCCCAGAATCATCTCCCAAGATGCAGATCTTTTTAATATTTCATTAGCCATGGGTTACATCGCAGCATTGTATTTTTAGATTTCTTAGAATCTTGTTATGACGCGTACTAACTCTTCTAGACACCGAACTCGACAGTGTATCGGCGCTTCAATTTATTTGACCAGCTGGGCAATTAATGTCACTTTCGGGAATTTCGAATAAATATCTTAACATTCATTTATTTCTGGACCTCTATTACACCGTACCCGAGGTCAAATGTTTACGACTACAGATAACTCCTATACTGTACATATCTAATGGGCGACAGAATCAGTGGTATGACGCCCATCAAAAAGAATTTCAAGAATGACAACCGACTTACTTCGGAACATCTCTTCCTGTAAGGTATGAATGAAGGACTCGTGCACGACGTAGTGGACTCCCCACACTAGTTCTCCCGAGCGGCTGAGGATGTCGGGATTGTTTGGGAAGTACTGGTTCAGTATGACTTCGATACGGCTTTTAAGGGAGGTGTCACGTGGCGACATCATCTGGTCAAGTCGTCGCCTCATGAAGTCTGAAAATTCAAGCATATTGTAATAACTTCCGTAACAGGAACTCGTGACCTCTAAATACAACAGGACAGGGAGGGGATTTAAGGAGCGTGCGGATTTTCAAGATGTTGATGTCGTATTGAAAATAAAAGAAGTTTCACAAGTTTGGGTTGTATTGGGTAAACGTCATTCTCGATACTCCAGGGTTTACTCTCTGCAGACAGCCAACGTGAGCGTAACACCTGGAATATCGAGAATGGATTAACGTCATATTAACAATTAAGGTCATTGTACGCGTGCATTGTGTTGCAAATATAAATGTTAATATTAAACACGACAGCTTTTACCATCATCCTTTTGTTCTTGAATAAAGCTGAACAATTCAATGTATATAATTTTCGTCAATGTCCCTGCAGGTAGGGCGTAAGAATTGTACCTGCTGCCCCATTGCATGATTGTAAGAGGAGACTAAATTTGGGATCTTATCTTTTCTTTCTAAACAACTTTCTTCTTCCTAATGTCTCCATTGACAATGCCTCACTTTCGGCTTTTAGTTGAGCGTTCGCTCCTGTGAGGAAGGCTTTGGGTTTTGTCCCTTGGCCGAAACAAGATAAAAGAGATAATTGAGTCTGTAAACATGGTAGTTTCTACCCCTGCTTAACGCTCAGCAATTAAGGAGTGGGACGACTGGTTCGCCCGTTGTCAGTATAATGTGACCGGTTGGGTGTCCTGCTGGGCGTCTTCGGCAGTATGTTTCAGTGAGTTAGCACTATAAAGTCGGCATCAGTTCCGCGCTATCACAAGGAGACAAACACGAACATATCGCAGCATCCCAAAACACACACGCATGCATCTTGGCCGTCCTTGAATGACCATGACTGTTGATAGAACATTAAACAATACTAAACCAAACCAATGTAAATATATTGCAATTTGTGGGTACTAAACTGTTTATTTTCTATCAATTTATCACTGTAACCACGATAAAAGTTATAGTAAAATTAGCCGTAGGTTTATCTTTCTCGACATTAAATGATACAATCTAGTATTGTGTAGTAACGCTACATACACACGAATACTCTCTGGTACATGGCAGTGGTACAGTTTACACGCTTGTCCATGATCAGTCTGGCCGTGTCCTCAATCATCAGGTCCATAGTCACGCGCACGTTCTTCAGATAGTCAAACGCAGACACCCCCCTGGCCATCACTGGTCGCATCTCATCGGGGGAAATGTTCATGGAATCTGTAGAAATAAAATATTAAAATGAATCGCACGCCCCCTTGACACTCTTGTTCAGACTTGTGTTATACAAATAAAACCTAAACATTCCAAAAAACAACAGCGGGAGTCTCTTTTCACAACGGGACACCGCGAGATTCACACGTTAAACGAGATTCCCTGTGATAGTCCTTGCTCTACCTTAGCCAGATATTGTGGCCCGACTTTCCTCTGGCCCCGACACCAGACTACGTCATTGTCTGGTGTGGGCACTAGACATCTGTTAAAATGTCTTAGCCTAGTGTCAGGGCCAGAGGAAACTCCAGCTAAAGTTACTGTAGATGCCGGCGTGTTCCGATGTCACGTGTCTACATTTGTGAACTCCAATGTAAATCTCCCGTAGTAGAGTACGTACGGCCTGCTGATGCGACCATCTTTTATAAGTAAAACATACCGTCTTAGACCACTCCTATACGTGAACCTGTATTGATAGACCATCTGTGTCAAGAGCCCACTTTTTGGAATGTCATTTATATCTACAAGGGAGATAAGTCATGCAAAATGCAAAATGTTCGAAGCGTACAGCATCAAGTTCATGCAATTATACGCATATACATGTAAATACCTTTTGGAAACCTCGTACTGGGGAAATCCCAGGAATACTGTTCGAGTATGCTTTCCAGGACGGGACAATCGACCCAGTGCTGGTAGAAGTTGATCGGGTTGGGCGATGTTGTATTGACGGTGGGGAAGTTTGTCGGGTACGAGGTAGGTATGGACGAGGTTGGCATGGACGGGGTCCAGGCAGTTGATGCTGGGTTAACCTGTTTCTCGGTCAGTCTTCGCAACATCTTTGCAATCGTCGGGGATATGCGACGTCTCTGAAACGATCCCAAACTTCCTGAAATAATGAAGGACAGTCGAATTATTTTAAATGTTAAAGCTTGCTTTTGATGCAAGAGTAGTCTCCCCTACAATATATTAATTACGACGTGTACCAGATGGCTTTATATAAATATTTCGATCAGAGAAAACATGTTTTTGAATTTTTGTATTGTCCTGCCGCCCATCAAATAATTGAGTATCAATCTTTTCATATGATGCTGCAATATTTTACTTTCTTGTAGAGAAACTGCGCATTCGATCATAAAATGTAAACGAGATGGACATGGTTGTCAATGGCAACCAAAATACATTAGTAAATAATTCTCATATTTAACCTAAAGGTTTCATCACTACCACTTTTAAGAATTTGTTTTAGTGATTTCCTCCATTTGTTAACAAGAGCAGTTTGAGACAAGGCTAAGGGGAAGTAACTCATGAAGGAAACATCTCTCACACGTCATACGTTTTTTTTTACATGTACACTATCATAGACAGATGTATCGGCAGACTTGGACCAAATGTTTACGCAGGCCATGCAAAGCTTTGTCAATGTTCGCCCGAAAGCAGCATCAGATTACTAGGTCCGACATTTAATAAACGAACAACTCTCGTCCGACCGGTTCAACCGTTTAAGCGAAAACGGCCCTGGTAATTAATATAAACTGGTATTGACATTTTGAGTATCATTTGTAATACAATATAGGAAACCATACAAAACATGGGTTACAGCAGAGACATATAAAGCCAGTATTGTACTATATACGTCTCTGGTTACAGCAAAGGTGAAGTATCGATATAAATAGATTTATCGAATTTTGCAATATTTCGTCTTTTCGTACTGCAGAGATATCTTCTCTTGTGAGCAGGTATTGATTGTTACGTCATTTGCTTGTGAGAGTAACGTCATCAATTTTTGAGAAAACGATGTAATTTTTTTTACACAAACCAATGCCAATAAGTCAATAGTTAAGCCGTGTTGGCCCCTAAAACATGAGGGGTTCAGCACTGTTCACGTCCCATATAAATATCACAACCTTATAATGGTCAACAGCCTCTAACTGGTGATTTAACACGGTCTGAAAAAACTTGCTCAAAAACTGACTTTAAGCGGAACGCCGGCGCAGACGTAGACGCTGGGAAGTTTACATATAGCATTACACTCCTATGACCTTAATTAGGTTGCCTTACAACCGTCAGCTGTAGGGAATTTTCCTTTAGCTTAGCGGTAGAGCATCGGGCTGGAGAGCCAAGGGTCGCAGGTTCGAGCCCCAGGGACGGCACTAACTTTATCACTTTTCCTCGTCCTACTACATTCATTTAACATTACATTTCTATCGATTAATAAGAACGGATTATCTTTTATTCTGCAATTTGTCAACTTGTCCACACACATGACAGAAAATAAAGACAAAACGAGGGAACTTGGCATATCGAGAGGGTAGAAATAAAAGGCACTGGGAGCTCGAGTACTGGTATAATGTAGCGCTCACAAGATAAGGGGGACAACTCCCGCAAAATTATCAAAATAAGTCAAAATTATATAAATTCAATAAATAAGTCTGTATAAAACGTCAAATTTCAGTACTTGGGACAAAAAGTATATAAACATAATTAAATGATTCAGATAGTAAAAATAAAACCTCTGACGCACAACGGAAACCATAAAGTTGCATGCTCACAATCACCAATTAAGAACAGAGTGCGCAAACGGACGGACGGACACCGACTCTACCAACAACATTCCCCGTGCCGTCATGATTTAGTGTTGAACACGTGCCTGCATAGTGCAGTAAATGATCGCCTAATTTCGCCGTTACATTCTGTTTAAATAGTCTGGGATACACGATTATAATGCTATCTAGATTTGTACAGAAATAAAAATTGAATAAAAGTGGCGTTGGTGAAAAACTACTCTTGTAACAGCATACGTGTATCTGTTCACCCTATTTCTTTATATAAGCAAAAGAAATTACAGTAATGAGAAATTAAAATAAGTTTTGTATGTAAAATTAAATTTTGTTTACTTACCTTGTATCACACAGAAACACGCCAAGATAACCAGCCATGTTGTCACGCCCATGTTGTGTCCTCTGTACCTGTACCGTCACCCGTGGCTTACCTGTCCCTTTTAGGTAAACTAACTACAACTGTGTGGTACCCGCTTCTTATATGGCCCGATTGGACATGCGCAGAGTAATTCACACGTCATACGTGGCGAAAAGATCACAACGCACGTGCATTGCGGGACGGTGACAGGCGCGTGATCATGTTCCCTGTTGACCGTAGAAAGTGCTAGATCAGCGTTTGACATTCATGATACAGAGGTGATAGGTCAGTGTGTTACACTCGCTCAATACGTACTAAGAAATATGTCTTATTGCATGGCAAAACTCTGGAACGAATAAAATACTCAATACTTATAACTCAAATGATGTTTTAAATTAAAATGTATCTATATATCTCCTAAAGGAGGGCTACACTGAACCAGACAGTCTAATACTGGACCAGACACTGTAATACTGGACCATACACTGTAATATTGGACCTGACACTGTAATACTTGACCAAACGTTGTAATACTCTACCAGATATTGTAATACTGGACTAGACATTGTAATACTGGACCAGACAGTTTAATACTAGACCAGACAGTCTAATACTGGACCAGACCTTGTAATACTTGACCAGACATTGTAATACTGGATCAGTCATTGTAATACTGGACCAGACACTGTAATACTGGACCATACATTGTAATACTGAACCAAACGTTGTAATACTGGACCAGACATTCTAATTCTGGACCAGACCTTGTAATACTGGACCAGACAATCTAATACTGGACCAGACCTTGTAATACTGGACCAGATATTGCATTACTGGACCAGACATTCTAATACTGGACCAGTCATTGTAATGCTGGACCAGACATTGTAATACTGGACCAGACATTGTAATACTGGACCAGACACTGTAATACTGGACCAGACATTTTTATACTGGACCAGACACTGTAATACTGGACCAGACAGTCTAATACTAGCCAGACCTTGTAATACTGGACCAGACACTGTAATACTGGACCAGACACTGTAATACTGGACCAGACAGTCTAATACTGGACCAGACCTTGTAATACTTGACCAGACACTGTAATACTGGACCAGACACTGTAATACTAGACCAGATACTGTAATATTGGACCTGACACTGTAATACTTGACCACACGTTGTAATACTGTACCAGATATTGTAATACTGGACTAGAAATTGTAATACTGGCCCAGACACTGTAATACTGGACCAGACACTGTAATACTGGACAAGACATTGTAATACGGAACCAGACAGTTTAATACTTGACTAGACAGTCTAATACTGGACCAGACACTGTAATACTGGACCAGACATTGTATTACTTGACCAGACACTGTAATACTGGACCAAACGTTGTAATACTGGACCGGACACTAAAATACTGAACCAGTCCTTGTAATACTGGACCAGACACTATAATTCTGGACCAGACAATGTAATACTGGACCAGACACTGTAATACTGGACCAGACATTATAATACTGGACCAGACCTTGTAATACTGGACCAAACGTTGTAATGCTGGACCAAACGTTGTAATACTGGACCAGAACTTGTAATACTGGACCAGACACTGCAATAATGGACCAGACATTGTAATACTGGATCAGAACTTGTAATACTGGAGCAGACACTGTTATACTTGAGCATACATTGTAATACTGGACCAGTCATTGTAATACTGGACCAGACACTATAATTCTGGACCAGACATTGTAATACTGGACCAGACACTGTTATACTGGACCAGACATTTTAATACTGGACCAGACCTTGTAATACTGGACCAGACACTGTAATACTGGACCAGACATTGTAATGCTGGACCAAACGTTGTAATGCTGGACCAAACACTGTATTACTTGACCAGACACTGTTATACTGGACTAGACACTGTAATACTGGACCAGACATTGTAATACTGGACCAGAAATTCTAATACTGGAACAGACAATGTAATACTGGACCAGACACTGTAATACTGGACCAGACACTGTAATACTGGATCAGACATTGTAATATTGGACCAGACACTGTAATACTGGACCAGACACTTTTTTACTGGGCCAGACATTGTGATACTGGACCAAACGTTGTAATACTGGGCCTGACAGTGTAATAATGAACCAGACATTGTAATACTGGACCAGACATTGTCATAATGTACCAGACATTGTAATACTGAACCAGACCTTGTAATACTGGATCAGACATTGTAATACTGGACCAGACCTTGTAATACTGGACCAGACATTGTAATACTGGACCAGAAATTCTAATACTGGAACAGACATTGTAATCCTGGACCAGATACTGTAATACTGGACCAGACACTGTAATACTGGATCAGACAGTTTAATACTGGACCAGACAGTCTTATACTGGATCAGACCTTGTAATACTGGACCAGACATTGTAATACTGGATCAGTCATTGTAATACTGGACCAGACACTGTAATACTGGACCATACATTGTAATACTGAACCAAACGTTGTAATACTGGACCAGACATTCTAATTCTGGACCAGACCTTGTAATACTGGACCAGACATTCTAATACTGGACCAGACCTTGTAATACTGGACCAGATATTGCATTACTGGACCAGACATTCTAATACTGGACCAGTCATTGTAATACTGGACCAGATATTGCAATACTGGACCAGGCTCTGTAATACTGGACCAGACATTGTAATACTAGACCAGACTCTGTAATACTGGACCAGCCGTTTTACTGCTTCAATAAAGATATCGGGATTTAGCGGAAACTCTAAACTCGAAATCCAAAGGCTCCGTTCTCGATAAACGGGAACTCGTATTTTTTATTAATTTGTTAAAATTCATAACTGATATGGTGATATAGTATGTGTATGTACATAAATAGTTCATGAATTACCCAGATTATTTTCCATACTTTGCGTGTAATGTGATTTGACCTCGGTATAACGACCAACTCCCCGTAGGTATTACATACGGTAATTCAGAACACGATATATTGATTGATTGGTTTGTTGGTTTTATGTCCGCTTCACTACCGAGTATTTCGGTTATATATTGATTATAGTATCATAGTATATATATATATATATAGGTCACATAAGTATATATATAGGTCACATAAGTATATATATACACTACTTCTCCTCTTTTCCCCCTTTTCCGAAGGGGGCTGCCCAATCACTGGCTTGCTAAATTAACTGCTTGAAATTGACGATTTGCATTATAAATGTTCTATTTTGTCTTTTTTTAAATTTCATTTAATTCGTTCTGAAATTGGTTTTATTGAAATCGACTGTTAGCAATGTATTAGTTTTGTTGTTTTTTTGTGTACGGATCCCAAACAGAGCAAGCATATTCTAATTGCTCAGTATATATATATATATATATAGGTCATATATATAGGTCACATAAGTATATATATATATTTATATATATAGGTCACATAAGTAAGAACGACAGCGAGTATGATCCAATATTGGCACTGGATCCGAACAACTTAAATATATTATTGGCAAAGAAGTAATAACGACAGTGCCCACAACGGAATTTGTCAAATTTTCAGGGCAGTCCACCCCTTTTTCAGGGCAGTCCACCCCTTTTTCCAGACAGAAACATGAACGCTTACATATAACAACATATAACAAGATAAACAGTCACTAGAAAACAATACTACAACATGGAATGCATTGACAAACAATCAGTGATCACTTTCTATTTCTATTTCTATTTCTACCATATAGTGACCACCTCCAACTAATTGAAGATTTTGTCACGAAGTTGGGTTTATGCAGCACAAACGACAGACTATATATATAACATAATAATTAATAATTACTCACTTAGTTAAAGTTAAGAGAAGGAAAATTTAGTTCGAGGAGAGTCCGAGAGAGAGGTCCGAGCAAGCCAGTGATTGGCCAGCCCCATCCGACAAATCTTGTTCGGAAAAGGGGGAAAAGTAGAGAAGTAGTAAATTATTATGTAAAGTCTGTTGAAGTAACTAATTACTTTGCATCTTCAATTTTATAGGTATGCCTGGAAAGAGATGTTTTGAAAGAGGTGAAAGTGGAAGCATTAACGATGTCCCATGGTAATTTGTTCCAGTCTAGTATGGTACGGGGAAAACATGATTGTTGTCTAGTTAGTGTTTTCGAGTATTGCTGTTGGTATTGGACCTGGCGGGAATTTCTAGGAATTCTTCTGGCTCGGTGCATCCTGTCAGTTGTGGATATGGCCACCGTGCCCTGATGAATTTTATGGAACATCAGACAGGCTGCACCAGACAAGAGTACCAATCATATCTGTTACACTAGAGGTATTCCGAAAGCGATTTGACACATCCTCTGGACCATTTCTATTTTGTTAATATTATTTTTTGTGTACGGATCCCAAACAGAGCAAGCATATTCTAAAGAGGGTCTTACCAAAGATTTGTAAGCCTGTAAATATTTTGAAATATGCCACATATTTCCTCGGTTACTAGCAAACCGAAGGCTAATTGTTGTACCACATTCATCTTGAATTGTATGTAAGTCATATTGGATCATACTGATGCTTTTACCTAAAGGCCCAGTCCCATTGCCAATGACGCATAAATCACGCATAAATCACGCATAAAATTGGTTTGTGCGTGATTGTTCGTGGAGAAATTAGTCATTTTCTGGGGTTGTGCGTGGTCAGAATCACCGATGAATCGCGTATAAACTGCGCATGTATCACTTACAATCACTGACAAAGAACGAACATTCCACGCACAACAGCGCACAAGCCCAAACCCGATACAATTTCTGACGTTCAATCGACGCATGTATAGCGAATGTAACACGTATGGATCACGCATGAACAGCGCACGAGCACTGATGAATCACGTACGGTCCGCGCATGGAGCACGCATGTATCACTGATGAAGGGCGCACTATAAAAGGCGCGCACTGACAGCATTTCGCCAGTCTTGCACCAGCACTCGAGGCAGCCACATCTCCTGAAGATCACTTGAAGACCACTTGAAGACTACTTGAAGACTACTGGAAGACTGCCTGAAGATGCCACCCAGGAAATG